TGTGTAATAATTATTGTCTTTAGTTTTTTGTTATTTTCCCGTTGAAACTTTATTTTTTTCCAAAAATTATATTTTTATCCTTGCTTAATAAATAGATATGTTTAGCAAGTGGATGGTGTATTTATCTTTTTATTTGTCATTGAATGTATCATTACTGTATGTTAATCCAATCTCGGTTGGGTCAATTCATAATTGTAGTAGTTATCTTCAAGTTAATGGATTAACTACTGAGAAACTGATCATCTTCCTAATAGTTTTCTTCTTCCGATTACAATAAAAGGTATGTAAAAGAGCTGCAATTTGCTATTCAACTGCATGCCAGCTTATTTAGTTGGACTCATAAATTCTGAGACTACGCCAGTAGTCCACTCTTGTGTTTCAGAAAGTCAAACAACTTGCACAATCTAGTATTACCTCGTTCCAAAAAAATAGTCCACTTTGAGTGAGACAGATATAAAATAAAAGAATAAAATCAATGGGACTACTTTTTTTGGGACGAAGGGAGTAATAAATATTTCCTCAATCTCAAATTATAAATTTTAAAACTCAACGTGATTTTTTTTTTGTTCGAGACAGATATAAAATAAAAGAATAAAATCAAAATCATACCCCTAAAGTTGGGTGTTCGCTAATTATCGGATCAAATTTCACTTTTGCTGTCACCTTTTCCTAATTTTGGCACGCACCTTTGTAATTATATTACTATTGTTATTAATATCCTAAAAAATGAGAATGAACCTATAGTTAACGATTGGGTACATGTGAAATATTCGGAGTCGACGACATCTTTTTCTAAATTTGAACCAACTGCAAAATGCAATCTTTTCTTTCACTAATTACATGTTGAAGCGTATGCACTTTTACTTAATAGCTATAGGTGTTTATGTATGGACCAAAACTCGAATGCTATTGATATGGAAGATATTTGGCATGTTAAAAGTTTTAGTTCCATGAAACATGTATTTTTTCGCTCTAAAATAATTATTTGTGTACTTCATTTTGTTGAATTAAGACGATATAATAAATTGTACATTATTTTTCTTAATCCTTTTTATCGTGGGGGGACTAGATATGATAAAATCCGATTTCAAAATAGTCATAGAAGTACGATTCGTGGGAATGTAAAGATACATCTTTCCGATATAGTTGAACATTTTGCAAAATCAATTTCTGCGCATTTATTTCCGAAATTCTTTTCACCCCCACAAATCCACTTTCCACAACCTCCCAAAATATGGCCCAAATTTTAGCTGTTCTTTTCAACTAGTTTGTGGTTCCACATTTAATTGAAAAGTCTAAATAGGCATCAAAATCCTAATGATCACATCCTATGGAAAAATACAAATATCCCTCCATCACACTTTCCTTTGGATTCTTGTAATATATAAAGTAGCAAAAATTTAGTCACTAATGAATTTCAACAAAATGTTTTTAAAGGGTCGCCATTTTTTAAGTAAATTGGTCAATGACCGATAATTTCAGGCATTGAAAGCCAGGCTATTGGGGGCAAAAAAAAAAAAAAAAAACTCTGTAAACAGTACTATGAAATTGAAGATGTATGAAGTAGACGTCCAAACTGCAGAGACAGATCCTTTAAGACGGAAAACGAGAGCTACGCGTTGACTATGGAGTCAGCAAATTGTGCTGTTCTTGTCTTCTAGAATTGCGGAATACAATTCATTTTTAGGATTCGTGTTGTATCGTGAACGAATAATGAGTTTAGCGTTTTAAATTCAGCTTTTTTTTATTATTTAAATGATCACCTAGAAGTTCAATTTCTTTCCCTAGTAACAATATCTCTCAAATTATTGATCCTGTTTTTGGGTGATCTCTCCCATTCGAGAGAATCTGTCTCGGACTCTTTTTTTGGGACGAACGCGAATAGAATACCAATATTCAAAGTTTACTAGTCTATAGTCTATACCTAATGTACCAATTTGTTACTAAATTTTTTGAAGTTCCTTCATTGACTGAATCATTAAAAGCCTGTGCGCATTTTTTCATATTTTGGTGAAAGATTTTTGCTCAACCACCCCCTGCGAAATCTTCATATCTCGGGGATGGGGATGGAGTTATTGTAAGACTTTGATACGAATGTATATTCCATTTATAGCGTACGTATTCGCACGTCAAAGTTCTATATATGTGATAGATTAATTATAATGATTTAGTATTTGGGTTAAAAAAATCTTGTAAAATGTCAGTCTTCTCTGTTGGGTTTGTTTATGTGTAATGTATCTTCTACTTTTGATAGTTGCATTTACCAACTCCGGTGGGTCATTTCTTCCTAGCCCTCTAGGAAAAGTGTGTGTGCGTGTGCCTGCGACTGGATTAATTAACACATTTTTGTAGAGGAAGGATCTCTAGTAAATTACTATCATCGCAGCAGAAGTGAGTGTATTATAGTGAGTTTGAACTAGTGCATGGACCTATTATTAATTGTTAGAGACTTGAAAGACTTTTGCCCTAGATATAGTCTCTAGCATTCAATGGATAAACTCATCGCAGTCAAAAAATGATTCTTTAAAACTAGATAATCATTTTGAGACGAAGTGTAAAATAACAATATTTATTATCTTTTAAGAGTTAAAATTATGATAATTATTTTAGGATGTGAAAAGGAACAATGATACTTAGTTTTTCTTTTGTTTTTTTTTTTTCAGTTGAATGACCCAGTGAATATCGAACCTTCGACCTTCCGATAATAACTATTTCCCATCTTAATCCCGCACCCAACTCTCTCACCCACCCCTGAAACAATAGTACTTAGTTATCACTGCTCGTTGGGTTGACGAGAAAAGGAGGATGTGGTAGGGTAAACCCGGGCCTAAAGTCCCCCAGCAAGAGGGAAAGAATACTTCCAGAAAGTCATTTATGAACCATTCATTGGACTAAACGGTGGCAACTCATGTCTTTAGGAGTCAACCTCCATTTGAGACACAGGACAAGCTTTTGGCATTCTGATTGTGACCGGAGGATAATTAACCTTTAATTACTTGCACCACTGATAGAGTGGAATTAATTAAGTTAGCTAAATATCAATCTCTAGTTTGGCATTGGTGTCGATTCCAAGTGGATTAAGCTAACAGATTAAAAGCCTGTTTGATACCACTTGATTAAAATTGTTTGATAAAATATTTTCTCATTAAGCATGTTCGAAAATAAATTAAAAAAAATGAACCTCTTAATAAATCAAATAATTCTGGAAGTGCAGCAATAAATATGAGTAGTGAATGTAACTTATTACTTATTCTGTCATTATTTAATGAATTCAGTATTTCTAATTCAGTATTAAATATTTAAAATTAAATACTAATTTTTACCAAACAGGCTTGAGTTGGTGCGTTTAAACAAAATTTGGGGTACGACACTTGTTAATGGGAAAAATAATATTTTGAGATTTCATTCCCAACAAAACTTCACTATGAATCAAATATAGATTAGTTTCAATGACACGTGACTGTTGAAACACTTATCAATTCATCAAGAATGAAAAGAATTTGATTGGATCCCATCTCCCAACTAATAATAACAACCCCCTCATACTTCAGTTGAACTTTCTGAGGAGGAAAACCTTGTTTTCCATTTTCCTTATTTGGGCGATAAGTGAATCAATAACAACGTAATGGAAAAGATCATGAGTTACAATAGAGTAGCTATAAGGTCAATTAGGGTTTATATTATTAAAAATTCAAGTATAATAATAATAAGAAAACGTAAAGACAAAAAACAAAGAAGATGGTGATGGGCGGAAGATTGGTGGGTGGGTTGTAGTTCTTTAATTTCGTTTCCCTTTCCCATTCTGCAAGCACTTTGAAAAGGTCGATTTCCATTTTCCAAATTAGAATTTAGAAATTATGATCCGTTTCTGGGTTCTCACGTGTAAAATGGGAGTGGAAAAACTCAAATAAACTTTAAAAAAAAAAGAAATAAAGTTGATGGATTTATATGTATTATTAATACTCTCCTCATCTTTTCATTCTGTTTGCTTCTTTTTTTTTTTTTTTTACGTAAATACTTAATCCGTCTCATAATTATTATATAGTTTAGGTTTTAATTTCTAGTACAAATTGTACTAAAAGTGAATTTTCAAACTGGATAATTTTGAGAAAGGGAGTATATAATACCAATATTTTCCTATGATTACAACGAGATTAAGGTCCATTGGAGGGCCTATATACTCGCAGCCGCCTCTTACTCATTGTATCGGGTCCTCCAGGATCATTAAAAAGCAAACCTCCTACCTTAACCAACCTACTAACAGTTAATTATTTGTTTCATTTGCAACTACCAGCTTCATACAATTGCGATAGAAATCGAACTTAACCATCCCTTTTAGCTTCCAATATACTCTGCTATCTTTTATCTTCTCTTTACAAGAATCAAACTTTTGTGAGTCAAAATATGAGGATATCTTTTGGCGTTCTTCCTATAAGAAGAATCAAAGTAGCTAACGCTAACAGTAAGTATTGCCTTAGTTCGTACGACCTCTCTAATAGAGATCTCTAAGAGACTAAGGTTCAAGGTTAAACACTTAAACTTGTATTCTTCTTGTTCCAGAATAATTATAAGAATGAAATTTCAAATTAAACAAATTTTGTTCATTAGATTTTGATATGTGTATCAAATTTTATCTTTAAAAGATTCATCCATCTTCTGTTAGGGTGTCGGCTATATTAAAAGTTAGATGTAAATTATTATTTTTTTTTTTTTTTAAGTAGCTTTATTTTAAGTGCACAACGTTAGTGTCAACTTACATTTTTTTTGTCTCCTCTCCCTTGCAATTTTAATTAATATTGAATCGATTTTAAACTGTCACATTGATGATATAAAAAGATGTCTTAGTGAAGTCTTCAGTTAGTGGAAAACGATAATTTAAACGCACTAGTATGAATAACATGCAACTTGGGTACTAAACCCACGAGAATCAATTTCAAATAGACTGAAAAACCCATGTGCGAAATTAGCATATAAAGGAAGATCTTGAAGCACTTTATATTCCCAACTTTATTGTAGATGTGCCAAATACCAAATAGTGTGGCTCTTTCTTAAAAAAAGTCGAACGAAAAGAATGTTAAAGCAGTCTCTGATTCTTTTTTGGGGGGGGCTGAAAATCAATTATTAAACCGAAATCCTAATATTTGCGAAATAAACACCAAGCACATCCACTTCGCATCATGGACCGACCACCCCTAAGAATTGGTTAATTTTCTTCTTTGTCATGGCTGGCAACTAACCCCAAGATGGAAAATCTGCCTAAGCCCACAACAAAGTCAATGAAAACCACTCAGATTTGACATTATGAAAATGGACTACGGAGTGTCCTGTTTTTTATGAGAATGATTTTTTGTTTTACGTTCCCTTTTTGATAAACCATTATTCAAAACGAATGAATTTTCTACCCCTTCTGCCAATTGAAATATAAATGATTTTATCACCACAGGTACATTACAAAATGACCACACTGAAGCCAAGTTAGAATTAAAAGGTACACTTTTGAAAGGAAATTAGGAACTAAAGGTCCACACTTTTGAAAGGAAATACTCTGCTAGCCACATCTAAGATTACACTAGTAACCAACGGCATTTAAGGGGAGATTATTGTAGAAAATAAGAAAAGGAAAGAAAGCTACAGCACATATTCCAATCAGTTCAGGGAAGGCCAGTAACAAAGATTACTACCATTCTAATAACAAGAAACCCCCAAACACCAGTAGAAAACTAGACTGCAACATACAAGGGACACTCACCACAGAAGCATAGCTAACAATTAGTAGCGGTCGAAGGATGGAGGGCGGCCACCCCTCCTCGGCCGATCATAAGGTCCAGCCCTGTCCCGGTAACTTCTTTCATAACGAGCTGGCCCTCCAACTGCATACCTGTCATTAGTGCTTCTTAGCCCTTCTTCCCTATCATAGCCTCTGTCTTTCCCATATCCAGCCGGAGCATACCGGTCAGAAACCCCATATCTATCAGCCACAAATCGATCCCCAGGAGGAGGATACCTAAATATGTAAAAACAAAACTTAGTAAAATCTCACTGAATAGCAGCACCGATGATGTGGGAGAGAAATAATGTCAGGTTCCATTCATCTTTTACTTGGATGAATTATGAACCTCTCAGATATTTATTTACTTTTTTTAAAAAAAGTTCATACTAGATAAGCCTTCCGTAACATAAAAGCAAAACTCCCATAACATTGTCCAATTTCACTCACAGAGTAAAACTTGATGATGCAAAATAGCGGAGTACAAACGACAAACAATATTTTGCTATAAGGAGTACCCAAAAAAGTACCTCTCTGGAACATAACGACCGCGGTTTATATATCGGTCACGGTCATCTCTGCTGTCAAAACGGTCCCTATCTCCATTACGTCCTCGATCATACCTATCATCCACGTAGCGATCACGATCGCCTCCATAGCGATCCCCTCGACCACCAAGCCCACCACCAAACCGGGGCCGGGGTGATATCGGACGAGGACCTCGGCCACCACCTACTGACGGGCAATCTCGCGCCCAGTGACCAGGTCGCCCACACTTGAAACAGTCATCCTGGCCAACGGACCTGTCAACGCCATAGCTTCCCCGACCACCAGATGGATAACCACTACCATAGCCCTGTTCTGAATCTTCACCCCTTGGCTGAGCCTTGTTAACAGAGATAACTCGATCACCAAACTCCCGACCATTCATATCCCTGATAGCATCATCCATTGCCCGCCGATCTGCAAAAGTCAGAAACCCAAATCCACGAGGGCGACCAGTGTCTCTTTCCAGCATGACCTATACGATAGGGTACAACTAAGAGAGGCAGATGCTACAACTCATTTTGAGCACAAAAAGCAGCACTTCAACGGATCTATCATAAAGGAAGGGATACCACAATTGGGAACTTTACGCAACTGCTATCTGAACTCCCAAAATCCAGTAAACCGAATGAATTACAACCACCACAAACTTAAACCATGACCTCAAACCGTCCCCATAATGCAATGGAAAAAGAAAACTTGAGCAAAAGAAAGACAATTCACAGCAGGCTTCAACACAAAGTCGTAATTAATGACCAACAATCAGATCAACAAAATACAGTTACCTAATCAATCTTTCTTCGCCAAAAATTATGCACCATTAAAAATTCAAAATTACGCAACAGGACATACTCTGTAGCAATGATTGTAGCACTTGAAATAAACAATAAAAAATTCAAAAGCAAACACCTTGGTCATGTTCAACTTTCTTTCTGCCTCAACCAAACGATGGAAAAACAATCATCCAGAGAAAAATGAGAAACACAAAAGTGTAAAGAGGCTAGTAGATATTAGAAATTCTAATCAACAAAAATGTGATCTGTAGAAGTGCAGAAACCTTACATTTATGGAAGAATCAAGAGAACCGTGAATTTCCAACATCAACAAACTCAATGCATCAAGCTCAAAACTCAAACGCGGTGTTCTCTATTTATCTCTAAACAAACTACATGCTGATAATTTCCTAGCCGTTTTGAAGAGATATCATTGCTGGTATTCATTTAAATAATCGCTTCCATTTCAGTTACTTCAAATTCTGACAAACACATCATTACTGGTTGATTAATTAACAGCAAGGTTATGGAGAAACTGAATTACTTCAAACTCTGGCCAACAGAGCATTACTGGTCAATTAACGGGAAAGCTTACGAAGAAACTGAACCACTAGCAGCCCAAATTAGAATGTAATATACCGCAGCCATCCTTCAAAACCACTGCTCAAACTTCTGACATCTTGATTGATAAGCTGAACATGTCTACAAGGGTACTTATCATTTCAATCAGCTGAATCTCATCACAATCAACCCTCAAACCTAGCTTTGCACTGTCTATACCATCATCTAACCAATACAGATATAATGGTATTGGTAGCCATGGAAACAAAACTAAGAATTCCATCAGTCCAAAAAAAAGTGGTCCATATGCTTAGCTTGTGAAGCAAACCAAAACTTTCACCATGCAATAGATGTACAGGTATACTAGTCAAGACATCCTACAAGCAGAAGCTTAACTCCGTCGGAGAGGTCACACATTTTTCTCGAAAAAAGAAACAACGCTAGCCTGGATGTCCATTCCATCACAGGGGCCATACATACTTGCCTATTTAAGAACCATCAAACTGAGGCAAGCACAAGAAGAAAATGCAGGCAGGAACCACATTCGGAATCCAGAACTGACAGATGATAAGAAAGGAGACTACAAACTTGGGTGCATTGCTTCTGCGATCATATTCTTACCCTGAAGTCAAGCATTGGCCCGCAGAAAAAGACAGCCCTCAGAAAGGGGACACAAAAGAAAGAAAAGCATAGCTCGTGGTGAAGCTATTTGTTCAAACCATAGAGCATCCAACTAGAGAATGCTGCAAACAAGATGGAGCCATGCCACAGCCAAACCAATTGTTACACTCACAAGGTGCCCATTAAGCAAGTAGATACACCATGATACACAAAAAAATTCACATCCTAATGAAAATTGATCAAGAAAAATGCATCCGGTTATAGCAGCTCTAGCTTTTAAGAGAGGTCAAAGGAAACTGTCCAAGAGTTCAGGCTCCCCATGGCACTAGAGCGAGCTTTGAGTTTTTCGTTCACACCAGTGATGGATAGCTACATATCATTTTCAACGGCATTCATAGGAACATGCAGATTAACTTTCAACGCCCCGAAAAATTATAGAAAGAGAAACCAATTGCATTTCTCAGATAACTTCCAACAAGAGCACTTTTAATGATGATGTATTAAACCTCAACTAAACTTAACAGTATATACATCCTAAAAAGAAAAAGGCAGAAGTATATCAGATTGCTGGATGCTCTTTTCAACTTAGGTAATACATGTGATTATCCATCAAATCCATAGCAATTATCTGAACCGAGAGCGACCTTGATATAGCAACCTCAAAGTGCCCAGAGTGGTTTAAGTAGTTAGCTCAAGAAGGGAGAAGATACTCCATGCTCGCAACAGATCCATAGACACGATCAACTACCACAGATACAAACAAAGCTAATAAGCTCACCTACTTTTTTCCCTTCCTTCAGAGTCCATAAGTTTCTAACCAACAGAATTCACTATTCATTTAGTTTAGAAGGGCAAAACAAACTACCATTCTGGTGAAACACCATCCTGAAGGTAGCCGATAAATTATTATTAAACATATAAATGCACAAACATGCCCAGCAGAACTAAATCAGTTAACACAAAAGGCCTCTTGAAGCCGGCTAATCAAGCAAATCGGTGAATCCAGCAACTTATAAAAGTCACAACAGCATACCAAAATCTCATATATGGCATCCTTTCTTTCTCCTTCTGTATAAATATCAGATATCTCAACATACTTGACTTATCAAAAATAGAATCAGCCTAAGCCTCAGCAAGCACTCTACCAATCAAGTCTCACAAAACAGCCAACTCATAACTAAGATGATAGACACCGGTCTTCACTAGCCGGAAGCATCAAGTAGATACCAAACCTTCCCCAAACTTATTCCATCTATATCATTCAGATACTGAAAACACCATACAACAACAGAAAGAATAAACAGAATTAATACTCAAAGCGCCATTGATGAACAATAAAGGCATTACCATGTCTACAAGGCAAATACGAAGAAGATACGAGTTTGCACATATGATGATCACAGAAATTGAAAATGCTTCAATTCAAAAGAGGTAAATTTTTCTCTAACGTTTAGAAAGTATAAAGTATGTCTGATATTCATTTCAACCCAAACAAAGCCAATTTCCCATCTATTCAAAGATAACAAACTACAAAGTATGTTTGCAAAGAAAATCAAAGTGAATTTCTCTTGAAATATTCACAGTCAAGCACCTAAATCTCCTCTGAAGAGCATGAACAGGACAGATTATTGAAACTTTGGTTAATGCTCAACACAAACAAGAACGCAATTTTAAATGAAGTGCGGTAGAATCCTAATGCCCTCCATGGATATGATTTTGAAAAACAGAGAAAGAACGCCAACATACAGAAAACAAGTATTAAAGAACTGGAATCAAGAGCAGAGATGCACTTAAAGAATATAGAACCTGAAAACCAGTAAATATCATATGCACTTTGATATACTTCACATATTGAACCTAAAAGTCTTTATTGATAAGCCAAATGACCATGATAACCGAATTTGCGGTTTCAAGATAACAAATGGATTAGATGCCACAACGGATTAACTTCACATTATAGCTATATCAAGCGGAATCTGTATGACTATGACCCCTTATTTAATCAAGAACACAAACATTCAAACAGTCAAAATATGTACAAAGTTTAAAGCTGCTCAAATAAGTAAGAGTATGCCATTACTAACATTTTAAATGTATTATTAAATAGCGAAGATACCAATGCCAGGAAACAGGGGAAACCGAAGATGCTGGGACAGAAATTTCAATTTCGGGGGAAACATCCACATTTTGGGGAAAGAATAAAAACAGCAAAATAATGCAATTGGAAAGGAGAAAAAGCTGAAGCTCACCTGACAATCAAGAATCTTGCCAAAACGAGCGAAGGCATCTTCAAGCTGACGTTCGGTGACGTCCCATCCTAGCCCGCCAACAAATATTCGGTAATCTTGATCTTTTCCGGCCATGACTTGTAAAACGTGAATTCTCTGAAAGTATTCACGAAACCTGAATCCAAAAAAGAAAACAAAAAGGAATGAATTTGCTGTTCGAAGAAAAACCCTAATTAGCGGAAACTAATCGGGAAGGAAACCAAGAATTGCAGGAATGAATGCAAACACAACTTTGACGATGCGTAAACAGACTGCGAATTTGAAATTCAGGAATTTACCTCGACGAGGATAGAAGAAAATTTTCGTTTTCGAGAGAGAGAGATTGGGAAATTGAGATTAAGGCTTCGATGCGTTTTGCAGGAGCCGAAAACCCTAAAGTAGAGAACCCGGGCAAATAACCGTAAGAACTAACACGGAGTAAGAGTTATCCAGTAGTAATACACATTATATATACTAGGGGTAATACACAATAACCCCCTCATGGTTTTAGAAACCGCACGAGAACCGAATTTTTTCCTTAAATATATGTAAAAAAAAAAACCTAGACAAAAATAAAACTTTTTAAAACCTTGTGGACAAATTTATATGCCTTGATTTAGGAAATCCGAATGGGGAAAACTCGGATTTCGAATCCGACCCCAACTAAACTCGGATTATTAAAATCCGACTTTGTATTACGTAAATCAAATTAAGTTAATGACAAAAATTAGTGTAATTAATCTAAATCTGGATTTTATAAATCCGATTTTATGAATAAAATATTAATTTCCTGGATACTATAAAAAAATGTGTTGAAAAATTAAATTCGGCGTAACTCTGACACAAATCCGAATCCGCTCTCGTTTTCGAAAATGGTGACTCCTGGTTGGCCACGGACTGATTTCCAAATCCGAATCCTTTAGAAAAGTCCGGGTTCGGATTTCGCAAATCGAGTCTTTGTCGAATCGAAAAAAATTGGACTGATTTTCACCATCCTAAACATGTTTACAAGACTAACAACAATGAAACATTGGAAAATAGGAATTTAATAACAACAAAACAATAAACGGCATTCAATTAACAACAAAATAAATCAAGTTTCATAAAAAGTTCAATACAAAACTACAATAAATGTCCAAAATAATGAAATGTCTCATTTTTTCCCTTTTCCTTTATTATGCGCATCCGAGTGTATTTGTTTGGGCCCGTCGGATCCTGTCTCCTCTTAAGATATGTGAGTATTGAACTTTGGTGTGGTTGCGACTGTCCACCAAACCGAGCCTCGATTTGGGGTTGAGATTGGGACTCCCATGGTGATAAATTTGACTCCGGTTGTGGTTGCGATCGTCCACCAAACCGAGTCTCAGTCCACCAATGTCAAACTGAGTCTCGGGTCCACCAATGTCAAACTGAGTCTCGGGTCCACCAGCTTCTTCAAACTATAAGCAATTCACAATAGACACAATTTAAATTCAACACAAACACTATATCAACACAAACCAACCACAATTCAAAAAAAAAAAGGACTCGGATTTCACAAAGAAAAAAATTTTGACAAAAAAATAAAGAGAGGATCGCGAATTTCAAACTTACGGTGAGGAATGGAGGAAGTCGGGAGGAGTGGAGGAAGTCGCGGAGGTGGAAAGTCTCGGAGGGACTCGCCGGATTGCAAGGAGTCGCCGGAGGTGGAGAGAATTTGAGGAGACACGCCGGATTGACCGAGGGAGGAGAGTCGCCGGAAATGGAGTCGCCGGAGAGTGGTGGGAGTCGCCGGAAATGGAGGTCGTGGAGGGAGTCGCGGATTGAGTGGTGGGAGTAGCCGGATTTTTGTTTAATTGGAGTTTAGTTTTAGGGTTTTTAATTTTGGAATTGGGGAAAATGGGAAGGGAAGAGTTGACGGAACAATATATAGTCCCACAAACTCGGATTTGCTAAATCCGAGTCTTCCTATTTCCTCAAATTTCAACTCTCGGATGGTTTCACAAACACGGATTTCGAAATCCGAGTCCTTTGCAAATTAAAAATAAACTCGAGTTCGGATTAGCGAAATCCGAGTTAGTACTGCTTCTTCTCAAATTTCAACTCTCAGATGCTTTTCACAAACACGGATTTCCTAAATCCGAGTACTTAGTAAATACGAGAAAGTCTCTGAGCTCGGATTTACAAAATCCGAATTTGCCCTGTTTCTCCTCAAATTGCAACTCTCGGATGCTTTTCACAAACACGGATTTCATAAATCCGAGTTCTTAGTAAATTCGAGAAAATCTCTGAGCTCGGATTTAGGAAATCCGAATCTCCCCTGTTTCTCCTCAAATTGCAACTCTCGGATGCTTTTCACCCAATCGGATTTCTGAAATCCGAGTCCTTTGCAATTTCAAAAAAAAACTCTGAGCTCGGATTTCTGAAATCCGAATTCTTCACAAAACCTTACAATGATGAGTATTTTGCACAATCCGATTTTGATTATGAAAAATAGTACATATTTCATCACACTTTACAATCCGAAAATTCAATGTTCACATTACAATCCGAATTTATCAATGTTCACATAAATTTATCAAACACTAAATAACTTGCAAGAACAAGAAATTACACTCAATTCCAATTGTCATTCATGTGTCTTCTATCTACTCTGGGTGCGAGAACGGACATGAATTGGCATCATGACCTAGTTGTCCACATCTCCAACATTCCCCCGGCCCGCGGCCCCCCCGTAATCCATTTGCATTCTATGTCTCCTTTTTGTCTTCGTCCGGTCCCGCATGCAACACAAGACGCTCATAATTCGAATGATGTTCCATTGACCATCGGCCATTGTTCCTCATTGGGAACCGGAACAAAGCCCGTGTAATGAAATTGTCTGCGCCACGTTGGAAGGCGCCACACACTATGATATAGATCAATAGGCCGATCCCCTTTTCTCCGACAAACTTGGAGTGCATGCGTACAAGGCATCCGGTACTCTTGCCACTTCCCGCACGAACACCTATGTTCATCGTAGTTCACCGTATACGAGACCCACCCCGCCACTTAGGCGTGTGGCAGAATAACACGCCACATAGCATCATCACCATCGAAAGGGGTGGCTTCAAAACTGGCTGCTTTATCATTCATTTTCTCGTATTTTTCCATAACTCGGGAGGGATCGGTGTCATGCAATTTCTCGCACAATTGTTCTTCTCTATAGAATTTAACAGCTTTTGCGAAAGGTTGCATCGATCAAGGCTCTAATTGGTAAAAACGGATCCCTTTCAACGCATTGTTGTAACTCTCGAAATGTTGGTTGTCGCTATGCCCCAACGGCGAAGACCGGCTTTCAATCGAGCCGATTACTCCCCAATCCTCGAAGATACTCCCATGCAGCAGGTTTGAATTCAATAAGCTCGCCTCATACGGTTGTATTTCACTCTTGAAAGTGTCGTGCCCATCTTCCAACATAACCGCTTCACCTTTTTGCTATTATATCGCGACACAAGATTGCTGCGAACGTGGCGGAGGCAAAGAAAGTGCCCACCATCACCTAAATCACGCCATTCATCTATCTGTGACATTGCGCTCAACAACCCTGCATTCCGGTCGGATATCACACTTACGATTCTATCATACACAACCCACAACTCAAATTCCTCCATAAAAATGTCCAACTCTCTACTGTCTCCTCATCAACAATCGCAAATGCAACCGGTAAATGTGCTTGTTTGCGGTATACACCACCGCAACAAGCAATTTACCCTTGTATCCACCACGCAAAAAGGTTCCATCGATACAAATGACCGGTGGACATTCAAAAAACGTCTCAGCCACCGGTGCAAATGACCAGAAGACGTATTTAAATGTCCGGTTTCCCCTGTTCCAACCTTCTTGTCCCTCCTTCCATTCCCACTCTACTACGGCCTCGGGATTAGTAAACTTAAGTGCAGCGATATACCTAAACAACAACAAGTCATTGTTAAAATATTTCAATACATGTAAAAATAAAAATACTATAAATATTTCAATACACGGATAAAAGTTGATATTTACCGTGGAAGTTCTTCGAAATTGGAGGTCCAATCACCATAACCCGCTTCTATGGCTTTCCTCCTCCCGTGCCACGCCCTTTTGTATGGCACATCTACTTTCAATAAGGTCTTCACATCTTTCTGTGCCGAGGCTACCGTATAATCTAGGTTGTCCTCAACCTTTCTCCTGATGAGTCTAGCAATCAAAGACGCGTCCACACACCGATTGTCATTATCATTCACAGGAGTCATGCAATTATGTGCATCATGCCATCTCACAATTTCATGAAGGCCGTGAGCTTTCAATGACACACGCATCTTCCACTCACATGGTGGTTCACCATCCTCACTTTCCACATTAAATGTTCCGCACCGCATGCCCCACGTCCTTGGACTACTCGCGGCGACCGTATATTCTCTTTTATGATGGATATTCCATAATTTCACAAAGATGCTTTGCTTCGATTGAGATTTGAAACAAACACCAATGTCCATTCCTTCGGGCGTCTCATCCCACATCTTAAGAGCAAACTCATCCTTGTCTACACATGAGGCATCCCAGCTTCCCATCTTACTATATACATGGCGTCGGGCGAATAGATTACAATCCCTTTCCTCATTTTCCAACCTTTCATCATCACTTTCTTCAAAATCACTCTCTCCGGAGACATCACGTCTTCTTCGCTTTCACTTGGAGCTATGTAGTCGGAATCCAACTCTTCCCGTAGTCATTTTGTGCAAATAAAGGTGTCTCCTCTTCATCACAGTTTCGAGAAGTACTAGCACGTTCCCCTTCGAAAATCACCAAATGACACGTTTTCCAAACTCGCTTCTCTTTCTTCTTGAGTGATATCTTCCAAATCTATGTATAAATCCAAACATGACATTGGATCTACACGGTTCATGAACTCTACATGCGAATCATTCTTGATCTTCACTACACGCCTACCACCGGACTATCGAAAATCAAAGAAAGGTGGAGTTTCACGTGTCTTGGATCCCAACCAAGGGTCATACAAATCTTACTAATCAATCCCTCATATGACAACCTTTCTTCGACAAACAAACCATCATCCGGCATATTCGAAAAAGTGTTGATGCTACCGTTCTCTATCACATACTTACTTGTATGAAACAAATTAAGCATGTATGATACATTACGTGCCATTGATAACTGTTAAAAAAAACATCAATAACTAATCATTTCTTAATAACAAAATCAACAAAATACACCATACATTCTCTAAAATACACCATACACCATACACCATACATACTCCAACAAATACACCATTCTAAAATACTTATAAATCAACTTCGATATCTCATGAACTATGATTTCTCATCTCTAACCTCAAAATCAACACCTAAAACATCCAAACAACCAACCAACATAAACCCTAATCTATCATACATCATTCTAACAAT